AGGGAGAGTCCCAGACACTGCGACATTCCTGAAGGGCTTGGCCCTGAGGAACCGGCAAGGCTCTGTTCAGCACCTAAGCCTGCCTCCTCTCCCAGGAGCTTCTGTGAGCATTAGGAGTGGTCTGCTGCTTCTCTTCTGTTAAGTGAAGGGTACTCAGCGAATATGCCTGGATGTACTTGATCCTTCAGGCAACTGAAGCCTGACTCAGAGACTCTTTTTACTTAAAAAGACAGTCATTTCTAAAACTCAAACCTGTCACCAAGATGCCACTGGATCTCACGCAGAACATACACTAAATCTTCTTAAGCATTCCCTGTATCACCCAGATTTGAAGAAAAACAAACAAATAAACCAGGAATTAAGCAGAAAATTCGTTTGTATAAGAGGCTTTCAATACATTCACAGAAATGAAATGAGTCCATGTATTTTCTGTCTCAGGCTTAAAAAGGGCTGGTAGAAGACTGGGGAATGAAGACCAAGTTTGTAAGCACAAACTTACACAAACAGACCAAGCAGAATTTGCTTGTTCCAGACCTTACCTCAGGATGGCCTTCATTTGGCTTATGATAACATGTTATGTAGAAAATAAAAAGAAGGAAGAATAAAAAAAAATAGACAGGAGATGAGACATTGTAGGTCTAAAGGAACAAAAATTCTTGGCTCAGCTTTTCGTTGGCCTTGTTAAGTGAGCTCACATATCTAGAACACAGATGTAGTGGGTATAACATATACTATATTGAAGTTTTAGCTGACTGTTTCAGAGGTGGGGAGCCAAATATCCAACACAAAGGAGTGTCCTAGAAGACCAGGGCTTTGAGTTCAGTGATGTGTACACGGACAGCGAGCACATTATATGATCCACGGATGGGGGTAGCAGGCAGCAGGGCAAATAACACCGACAAGGCTTCAGAGTTGCAAAGGGGGCCACGAACTTCAGAATCTGGCAAAAACTATCATTCCTTCATAAGCCTGAGAAGAGCCAGTCAATCTGACTGACTGGCATTCGCAACACACCAGGCAGAAACGTTTCTCCTGGCTCACACGCGATTCTCACAGAAGTAGGAGGCTAGCTGACGCTGGCAGACATGGCTCGTGGAGAGTAAATATTGTGAGATTTTATTTTTAAGTCTGGCGTCCTGGGATTTCTCAGAGTCAGAATTGCTCAGCCAGAGGTTGGTGAGGGGTTATACGGTTTGCAACATGCAGTGCAGATCCCAAGACAGACTGGAGAATTTTGCTGTCTGGTCTATCCTGGTCTGAGGTTCAACAGGAGACTATGTGAAAGGACTCTAGCCAGCATGGTCATGGCACACACGGCTCTGGCTGGCTTTGCCCTTCTCCCCCATTCCCTCTGCCTTGCTGAAAACTATTAGGTTACATTCTTCAAGCTAGCCCTCAAGGTCTAGTCCCTTATTTGGCTACTTCCTCCTCCTGAGGCTGACCACCAAGGTTCAGCTATCAAAGTCCTGAAGTCCAGCAACCAAAAGCCCCCTTCGGCTCACCAAACTAACATACCCAATTCAGGTTAAACATCTCACCCTAATACGGGTTTCCCCTGTTACCTTTATCACAGCCATTGATCTATGGGCCAGATCTGTCTCCCTTCTATCCAGAGAAAATCTTTTCTCCCCACTCAGGGAGCAACATCCCTGCTCCATCTCCCTCGTTCCCTTCTTCTTATCTCTAGGCCTCTATCTCCTGTCTTAGTCCCTTATTCCCTGGCCTTTTTTCCCCCCTCTGGGGCAAACAAATTTCCTTTGTGCTGAGAACTTGGTCTTGGGGGAACTGAGCTGAAACTTAATCCTCTCAGTACATACAGGCTTCTAAACCTCCAGTGTCCACTGTGATACTAGCAGGATCCTTCTTGGATGTCTCCATCTTTATTCTTTTTGTTAAACTTCTGATAGCTTGGACACCTTGTGTTATGCCACATCATGGCATACAAGAATGTTCTTCAGGGCTGGAGAGATGGCTCAGAGGTTAAGAGCATTGTCTGCTCTTCTAGAGGTTCTGAGTTCAATTCCCAGCAACCACATGGTAGCTCACAACCATCTATACTGGAATCTAATGACTTCTCCTGTCATGCAAGTGATCTACAGATAGAGAACACTTATATATTAAATAAATAAATAAATAAAATCTACCTATGCTTAAAAAAAAAGAATGCTCTTCAGATCATGTCACTGAACCCTCTTTAATTGAGTAAATACTACTTGCTGATGGCTTTAAGACTAGTGTGATGTATAGTGTTATGGCATTTGAGAGTTCTGGTTCAAAAAGCAAAGGCCCCTGGGTGGGTTATATTGTCCACACAGAACTACTATTGATCAATGCTCAGGCTATATAGCATTGCAGGGAAATGGTAAAAGGATACATTTTGGTGAAAAATGCTAAATGTTTCAGATAATCCATTGTTTATTTCCATTTCTAAACAATAAAATGGCTTTGTACTATTTTACCTCAACTCACTGAATTTGGTGATTGATACAATTTATGTCTTGACTTTCAGCTTTTAGTTTCTTAGAACTTGCCAATTCTTTGATCAGTTTGCCTAACAGAGTATCTGATGTCAACTCAAGACCTGTTAAATGTGTGCTATCTGTGACTGTGGGAAGACTTTTATGAACTTGCCTGATAAAGGACAGACAAGGAATTTATTCAATAAAAACAGTTCCTCAGGAGTACTCGGAGTGTCTTTTGAGTGTGATTGTTAGTTGGAGCATTTTCTTGGGTGGGTTAGGGTGTCTGGTTTGGATTGACACCCGTCTACTCTCGTTGTGAAGGCAGGTGTGACATGTGGTTGACACTCCCATCAGTAGACTTCAGGAAGAGCAGATTTCCCTTGACACATAGGTGGGCCCTACCCCATCAGCTGAAGCTCTTAATCTGAAGAGCCCAAGTAGAAAAGAATTCTCTCTCCAGACTGATTTCAGACTCAAGGCTGCAGCATCAGGTCCTCTGGGTTTGAGAGGTTTAAAGTTAACCTTGCTAGCTTCTACAAGCACAGGAAGTGTTCTGAGTCAATGTATCCCTCCCTCTCCCTGAATTTCATGATACTCTGCCAGCATCTCTTTCTCTCTCTCCCTCCCTCTACTCCTTTTTCTTTGTCGTTCTCTTTGTTATTAGTCAGAGTTTTCAGGAAAAAAAAATGTTTTCGCTTAGAGAATGACTAAAAGCAGAGAGGAGGAAGTAGTGAAGACAGAGAAATGAAGATTCCTGAGGAATTTTTTCCTAACCATGCCCCTGTTTGCAAATCCTCATTGTGGAAGTGCAGCTCACCCAAGGAAGCTCATGGATTCCTCTGTGGAATTAGTTTGTAAATTGAAGTGGAAACTGACTATCATTTAACCTTTCCACTTTTATTCTTGAAACAAGTTTCCTGAGGATGTGTGAGTAAGATGGTAGGTCTGAAGCTGCCTCTGTGGTTTGGAGAAGGAAGAAAAATCAGGGTAAGAAAAAAATACACTATATTCAAAAGACAAAGATAGGGTGAGCTTTGGATATCCGAAAACCGGAAAGTAGGAGAGCTGATCAAGCTTTGGGAAAGAAGAAGAAGAACAAGAAGAAGAAAAGAATTGAGTGAAGCCTCATCTAAAAGCAATGTATATTATCTTTGGCTCTGCTGTAAGTTGAACCCCAAAGCGAAGGTTATTCAATAAAAAGATCCCTCAAATAACACTGAAAGGAGACATGAACAAGAGAAACATAAAATGTAACACAAACATGAAAAGCAAAGACTACAATATTGTAATTCCTGAGTTACTAAATTTAAAAGCAGATAAAAAGGTTTAAAAATTGTTTGTGAAAAACTGACCTAATACCTCAAAAAAAAAAAAAAATCACAGAGAATTGGATGGATAAGGCAGATGTAATCAATCCAAGACTTGGAGAGAAAAGCCAAAAACGGAAGTCAAAGTATGGATGAGAAGGTTACAAAGCCAAAACGAAATTAATCTAGAAAGTGAGATTTAAAACAATGGGAAAAACATTAAAAATGTTAGAAATGAAAAATTGTATGATTAAACAAAACAAATGAGAAATCGCAGCAAAGAATTATCATCACAATAGATTCAACCAACCGGAAGAAAGGTCATAAAGATGGAAGACAATGTTGAGAAAATGAGACAACAAACATCACAAAAGTTAAAATGAAAAAAAGTCAATGACCATTATGATCATGATTACAACTATAAGACTGTGGGATAGAATCAAGACACAAAATTTACAATAGGATAAAAGTATGAGCTGAGATAAATACTAAAGTCTTTGAGAATCTATTCAATAGCAAAATCAGAATATTCCCCAAAGGGAACCAAATAGGCATCTAATCACAAGAAGGTTTTAGAATTCTAAATGGACATTATTACAGAACTTCTCTGTGACACTTTACGTTCACGATGTCCAAAAGAAAGAAAAGCTGTAATAGGAAAGTGCCAACTCAGAAAGACAAATACATTAGATTAAACTTATAAGCTCGACACAAATCCTAAAACCAGGAAAGCACGGAATGGTATATATCAAACTGAGAAAATAAAAGTATTGCTAATCAAAATTGCTACATACAGCAAAGTAAAATAAGAGCCATGAAGCAGATAGTGAGGAGCAAGTATAAGCAATGTACAATGATAGATATTTATGAAGGTGTCATAATAAGAGGTGTTATTTTGTATGCTAACAAAAATGTATAAACAAAACAAAATCCACTATCTCCATGTCTTGTATTTCCTTAGTTCTGAATCCCATTGGACAGAGGCAATGCTGTTCATTACAACGTAACAGAATTATGTGTCATAGTGACTTAGAAATTCACTATGTTTTTAAAGCACACTCTGACATTAGATTCCAATTTTATGCTTGAAAGTAATAAAACAAAACAAAACAAAACAAAAGAAATGAAAACCCCACAACCATTAACTGGTTCCTAGGGTTAAAATAAATTAAGAGCTTTTGTAAGACTCTTCTGAAAAGAAAGCTTGCATTAAAGGAAAGTAACATCTTACCATTTATGAGTCTCTGTCAGGGCAGTCTCTTGTGACTCTTGGTCAATTTTAGCTGAAAATGCAAGAAAAAGACATGAAATAGGTACAGGGCTTTATCATCTTACAGAGTATACAATCTAAACATCATGGGGTAGATTTAATCATGAATTCTAATGTTCTTCAATAGATATTATTTTAACCCTATTATTCTTACTGATATGGTAGAAATATTGCTAAATTTGATTAAACTGACACTAAGGAACATAAGATTTTCACACAGCCAACCAAAACTTTTAGGTTATAAATAGTTTCTTTACCTCTGATACAATGACCTAAGGAATAGAAACTCTACTTTCATAGTTAAATTGAATATGCCAGGAACTAAATGTTAACAATTTGTTGAAAATAATCATATCAAGCACAGAAACAAACACCAAGTTGGAAACGAAAACAAATGTATCTGACATACATTTTAAACTCTCTGCAGCCATGCTCTTTGGGACAGATCTCAAGTGATTGATCATGATTTGTTCTGAAAAGTGGACAGCATTATGTACCCATGTACCCATTTGTGTTCTATAATTTTTTTTTTTTTTTTGGTCAGTGCTGGGATCAAATCCAGGGTCTCATCTGTGGTAGACAAGTGCTCTATCACTGAACTTCAAACTCAGATTTACTTGCTCTATTTTTTTCCCCAAAAATAAAGATATCTGTCACAAACTCAAAGATGAGACTTAGGATTACTGAATGAAGACTTCAAATTGCATAAAAATCACACAGGAACTCCGTTAACTATAATTTGCAGCAAAGTTCACCTTCTTTGAGGAGTAGGCATTCCAGGAAGTCATGTCAATATTCTACAACTCTCCTCTCTTCCTCATTGTGCATATATATTTGGCACAAATGTTTCAGAGACACTAAGCAATATGTTGTCTCCTTATAATCCTTCCATTGGGTTAGTATTGGGGAAATCAGAAAGCAAAAGGAACAGAGTAAGTTAACCAAATCTATAATCATAAAAAAATTGGCAGTGTTGACCAAATAAAACTCATGTTCCTTTGGGATTTGTAAAGTGTCTCTCTCACTACTTAAAACACAATAGCACAGCTTGGCCTGGTTAAGGTTTTACAATTTCAAGACGGCTCTGGAAAGTCTGTACTACATGTTCATTGTCCTGACACAGTGTTGGGCTGATACTCTTTGCCATGGATGTTAGAATTTAACAGGGATCATTTGAGGTGGCCACAGAAACTTGTTTTCTCTCCTTTCCTGTCCTTTTTTTTTTTTTTTTTTTTTTTTGTCCTTTAGATTGTTTACTTGCATTTACAGGTCAATTGTTAGGCATGTTAAAGACTGGGATAGATATTAGACGCTGTACTTAGAAAAGGCTCTAGTACGAACATACTGTCATAAAAACTATCTTTGAGTGCCTAAAATAAAAGATGTTTTGCTACCGGTAACAATTCTATAATCACATAAAGTGCCTTCGAGGGGAAAATAACAAAAGCAGCCCAAATGAAAGCTACTTTGACAGAGGACAGTTTGCTTGCTTTCTTGAAAAATATACCAATTAAAACAATTGATGGGAATTGACTGAAATAATTTCTGAACTATTTTAGAAGAGTCAAGTAAATGAATTATGAAACTAAAAGCATGAAACTGAAACTGAGGCTCTCAGGAGACATCTTTAATTCCCATCAGGTTAAAGTGAGCCATGTGACTTTTAGCAATCAGACTCACTTGTCAACATATGCAAATTATTTACCACAATGTCTATAATGACCAGTACACGTGAAGTAAATGTCTTTCTTAAGTTTGGGAATTGAATATCTGAAAAATCTTGAAGTGAGCCAACCACTGTTTTATAGTGCTTTGACATCATCTCAAGATACAGAAAATACATTCTTTCTGCTTTTCAAAAATTTATGCCCATAAATCATAGTAAGTAGAATAAAGAGATTCTTGCTACCTCCTTTTGATGTGTATCAAAACAGCTCTTTTTCAGTGTCTGAAAATTTGGCTTAGAAAAATTAAAACCAAAACCATTTTAATCCAATGCGGCAGGAGATTGATCCATACCAAAAAAATAAAACATAAAAACATATCTCCTTACCAAACCTAATAACCATGCTAAAGTAATAAAGTCAAATTAGAATAACAGGCAATGCTTGGGACTTCTCTACTATCCATTATTTTCATATGATTTCCAAGCTACGGGGATTTGTATATTGAAACTCTAATCAGCTTTGATAAACAGTCAAATTAGAGATCAAAGAAACTGTATTAAAGGCCAAATTTCAACTCTCAATGTAGAGTCAACAATTCAAGGAGCTAGGGCACATTTCCTTTTGTATTGCAACCTGGGGGAAAATATAGTTCTGAGAGTGAGGCATGGTGGCACAGATCTGTTATCCGAGAACATAGGAGGTAGAGTGGGGGTAGGGAGATCAAACTTTGAAGCCAGTCTGATCTACACTGTGAGACCTTGTATTAAACCCAAGGGCTGGGGATGGAGCTGAGGCGTAGCAGACTTGCCCCATATATGTCAGGCCTTTGTTCAACAAAACAAAATGCCTTAAAAATCAGGGTGCAGACATCATCTAGCAGGATGCTTTGGGCAAAACACACAATCAAAAATTTGCTGTCAGAGTCCCCTCTTGTGGACACCTTTCAAAACAAAGATTAGAGCATGCAAATTATACACAATAATAGGTTTCATGATCATAGAAACCTCGATGACACGGGAGGTTGTGGCTGCTTGTGATACTGAAGATGAGCCAGCAAACAGAAAGAAAATGCCCTTGTGACCAGTAAAAACCTGCCTTCACTGATGGGGGACGTGCTCTCTTGTTATGCACAGTGATGAAAAATCTCAGCACAGTTGCATTTGCAGTTGCATTGTATTATGGCTTTGCTAAAGGTGATAGAGAAATTAAGACAACATTCTACATTGACCACAGATATGTTTTATGAATATTTAAATTTTCTAACATATTTTTTTCTGAAATTAAAAAAAAAATAACTTGAGGCAGGCTAATGGGTTGGCTTTGTGGCTGGAGATTCTTTACTATACAAGCCTGGTGACTTGAGTTTAATCCCCAGGCCATGTAAAGATGGAAGAAGAGGACTAACTCTGCTAAATTGTCCCTTGATGCGCGCACACACACACACACACACACACACACACACACACACACACACACAGAGAGAGAGAGAGAGAGAGAAAGAGAGAGAGAAAAATAATAAGTAAATAAAATAAAACATTATTTGTAGGTAATTTCTAATGCTGCACATGATTCTGGGAAGAGTTTTGAAAGCTCAGGTTCTTCTGGGCAGTAATTTCCTATATATGTGCAGTCAGATATCAAAAAAAGATTATGATTAATGTATGATCAACGAATCAAATAAAAAGGGGAGAGATCTTTATATATTCTGGATATCAGCCCTCTGTCAGATATACAGTTGGTAAAGATCCTTTCCCAATCTGTAAGCTGTTGTTTTGTTCTGATGACAGTGCCCTTTGCTTTACAGAAGCTTTTCAGTTTCATGAGATTTGATTTATTGATTGTAGAACTTAGAGCCTGTGCTGTTGGTATTCTGTTCAGGAAGTGGTCTCCTGTGCCAATGAGTTCAAGGCTCTTCCCCACTTTTTCTTCTAACAGGTTTAGTGTGTCCATTTTTATAACTGGTCTTTGATCCACTTTTGTTTTGTGCAGAGACTTTAGTTTTGTGCAGGGTGATGAGTATGGATCTATTTGCAACAAATCAAGTAATCCAATTAAAAAATGGGGTACAGACATGAACAGAGAATTCTCAATAGAGGAACATCAAATGGCAGAGAAACACTTAAAGAAATGCTCAACATCCTTACTTATCAGTTAAACGCAAATCAAAATGACCCTGAGATTTCACCTTACACCCATCAGAATGGCTAAGATAAAAACCTCAAGTGACAACAAATGCTGGAGAGGATATGGAGAAAGGAGAACCCTCCTCCATTGCTGGTGGAAATATAAACTTGCACACTCACCTTGGAAATCAATCTGGCACTTTCTCAAACAAGTAGAAATAGTGCTACCTCAAGATCCAGCTATACCACTCCTAGGCATATATCCAAAAGATGCTCAAGGATACAACAAGGGCATTTGTTCAATCATGTTCGTAGCAGCTTTATTTGTAATAGCCAGAAGCTGGAAATAACCCAGTGCCCTTCAGTTGAGGAATGAATACAGAAATTTTGGTATATTTACACAATGGAATACTACTCAGCAATTAAAAACAAGGAAATCATGAAACTTGCAGGCAAATGGTGGGATATAGAAAAGATTATCCTGAGTGAGGTATCCCAGATGCAGAAAGACACACATGGAATATACTCACTTATAAATGGATATTAGATGTATAACATAGGATAATCATACTAAAAACTGTACACTTAAGGAAGCTAATCAAGAAGGAGGACACTGGGTAAGCTGCTCAATCTTTACTTGGAAAAGCAAACAGGACTGACATCAGAAGAGGGAGAAAACAGGGAATGGGACAGGAGCCCATCACAAAGGGCCCCTGAAAGACTCTACCCAGCAGGGTATCAAAACATATGCTGAGAATCATAGCCAAACTTTTGGCAGAGTGCAGAGAATTTTATGAAAGAAGGGGGAGATAGAAAGACCTGGAGGGGATAGGAGCTCCACAAGGAGAGCAACAGAACCAAAATATCTGGGTATAGGGGTCTTTCGTGCAATTGATAATCCAAACAAGGAAAATGCATGGAGATAACCTAGAACCCCTGTACAGATGTAGCCCATGGCAGCTCAGTATCCAAGAGGGTTCCTCAATAATAGGAACAGGGACTGTGTCTGATATGAACTCATGAGCTGGCTCTTTGATTACCTCCACCTGAGGGTTGAGCAGCCTTTACTAGTCTACAGAGGAAGAAAATGAAGCCAGTTCTGATGAGACCTGATAGACTAGGGTCAGATGGAAGGGGAGGAGGACCTCTGCTATCATTGGACTGGGGGAGGGGCATAGGAGAAAAGGAAGGGAGGATGGGATCTGGAGGGGATGGGGAGAAAG